GGGAGATCAATTACGTCTCTTACAACCATTGAAGATGGGATTCATGAAGATAGAACGGCTCACTGGAATTGGATGAAAAGATTAAAGCTTAATCCTAAGATTGAACTCTTTTGTTGGAGGTTGTATAACAACGCCATTCCATCTAATTTTTTGCTTGCTAATAGAAGGATCAGTTCTTTCTATGGATGTCCGAGGTGTTATGAACTTGTAGAAGATAATAACCATATTGGAGGACAATGCGTTAAAATCAGGAAGGTAGTTGCTCTGTTAAATGAATGGGGATTGTATATCTCGGTTTATCAATGCTTTAAGGATTACTTAGAAGGACTTCAGAAGCTGATTGGGAGGGAAGATCTCGCTGCAAACTTTTACTGTACAGTGGTTTGGATGGTATGGAAGAGTAGGTGCAAACTAATACATACAGGAAAGGAGGATTCAGATAACTCAATATCAGCCAATGTTATTTCTTACGCGGTTCAGAGTAATTTTTTGAACTTCCAACTGGAAAATTGGGATACCAACCAGCTGCGGCTGTCTTCTCATTGGCATCCCCCACCTCCCAGATGGATTAAAATCAATGTAGATGGTGCTCTAAAGAAGAACTACAGGGCTGGAGTCGGAGGAGTTGCTAGAGATGATAAAGGTCGGTTCCTGATTGCTTTCGGGAATACACTTCAACAATGGGATGCAGCTCAAACAGAACTCTGTGCTGTGTTGTTTTTGAAGAACGTGGTGAAGGACTGGATGTTTGAAGCTCAAGGACTCATCATTGAGGGGGATAACAGGAACATTATCAAATTCCTGCAAAAGTCAATAAAAAATTGGAAGGTTAGCAGAGCTATTGAAGATAGTTTGGCGTTTTTACTAGATTTTAAGCAAGTGATTTTCTCTTATTCTAGTAGACTTGGTAACAATTTAGCGGACATGTGTGCTAATTTGTCTTTAGAAGGATCTTTTTTATGGGAAGATCTTCTAGACAAGTCCATTCCTCCTTCATTTTTACATTGTCTAAAGGAGGAGTGTGATGCTTTAGGGAGATCTTGAGTGAGTTGTATCTGTTATTTGTTTTTCTTTGGGTTTAATGCATTTTGAGGCATTGGTTTAAAAAAAAAAGCATCACATATCAGCTAAAACATTTCCTTGGATAGAGCCAGATCGATTATGGATCATCTAGGAAGAACTAAGTTTTGTTAACTAATCATCACAGATGATCCTACGATCGTCCAGGATGATATGATCAAGAAATCAAATCTTAATTACTTTCTTTAATTACCAAACTAATTTTGGAATAATTATAGTGCATCATCCAGGATGATGTCAGTTGATTCTTTCTGATTTGACCCTATCATCACGGACAATGATAATATCATCCAGGATGATTTGCTTATTTTTGGCTGTTCTAACAAGGATGCCCTAATTAGGGTTTTTATTTTTAACTGATCGTCCAGGATAAATTGGGATCATCTCGGATGATGTGATCAAAAATAAAAAACTCTAAAGTAGTTAGAATTTTTCCCCCAAGTGCGTGTGTAAAGTTAATTAGCGTCAGGTACCACATTGTTATAATGGACTCAATAAAGGTAAAAGATACTTAACGTACATTAGAAGCTGACTTAGTCCTAATCTACCCAATCTTAAGCTAGTTTGATTTGTAATTTGATCTTGTGGACCTAAAAAAATTAGTAGGCAAGGCAGTTATAGAAAAATAAAAATGGTTGTTATCATCAAAATTATATTCCCTGAAAAAAGATTTGCAACAATCCCTTTTTATGATGGAAAATAATCAAAACTAAATAAAACATGAACATAAGTAAAATATTATGATGAAATAACTCAACCATTACCCACTACTCCCCCATTTGACCTCATAAAAAGGAGGAGGAAAACCAGAAACATAAAGCAGAATAGAAGACAAAAAAAAAAGAATGAAAGCAAAGTTTTTTTTTATCAAAGCATAAATATAATTGTGTCTCCAAATGATTGAATTAAAAAATTTGTAAGAACAATGAGTTAACATCATCAAAATCTAAAAATCGATAGAATAACCGATCCTGTTAGCCCTTGCTCGGACTTCTCTCAGGGTAGAATCATCTTTTGAAAACAAAAGACCTAACTCAGAAAAACTAATTGTATAAGAAAAAGAGATCAGTTCAAAACTTGGTTTCAAAAAAATAACTTATAGAATAATATACCAAAATAATTTGTCATAATTGTGAAAGTCAAAATTAAGCCTTTGAAAATATCAAGTGATACATAAATTCTTCTAAGATTTAAAGGTTTGAAAGAGAAGGAAGCTTGTCTTTTATGGGCTCATTTTATACCTCTTAAGAATCGATTGGCGCACTTTGTGCATCTTTTGATTTTTGATATACTTTGTATATCTTTCAATTTTTTGGGTAGTTATTACGCATCATTTTAGTTTTTTTTGGGCTCATTTTATGCCGTTGTCAATTTTTACAAGCTAAATCCCTTTCAAAACTCTTAAATACTCTGAGTTGTGAGTATATCTTTCAGATATTACAGAAGAAAAACTCACTCTCTAATATAAAAAAGAATAAACCATAAAATAGAATCAAATCATATGATAAATGCAACAATAAGATTACAAAAAATTTGAAAGTAATATAAAGACTTTGAACATTATTTATATAAGATAGATTACAGTAGTAAGATAGAAAAGATCTCAATTGTAAAGTTCAGTTGTTAATTTTGTTGAGTCTAGTGAATAGGTTGTTAAACCTAAGTTAATCTCCCAAGGCTACCAAGAAGGGGGGTGAATTGGTAGATAAATTTTTTTCCCTCTTTTGATAAATTTAACCAAAATTAAACTTTAATGAATTTTTTATAAAACATTTTTCAACCACAAATTTTTAAAACACAAAATTAAAAGCAGAAAATAAAAAGCAGTAAAATAAAAAGACATACGATTTATAGTGGTTCGGTCTAAACCAGACCTACATCCACTCCCCAGAGGCACCCTCTGAGTATTGCACTAATACCAATAGTATCTCTCCTTTTGCACCCACAATAAAGTGGAGAAACCTTTACAAACACTCTTTTCACCACTACCCGGTGCGGCAGAGAATTGTCGTCCTTTTACACTTTCCTTAGTATTGGCAGAGAACCGTCGTCCTTTTACACTCTCCTAGTGTTGGCAGAGAACCCTTCATCCTTTCACATTCTCCTAGTGTGGGCAGAGAACCCTTTGTCCTTTCACACTCTCCTAGTGTGGGCAGAGAATCCTTCGTCCTTTCACACTCTCCAAGTGTCGGTAGAGAATCGGATCTCCTTGACAGATCTCTTCCCAAGAAATATAAAAGGAAGAAAGAAAAAGAGTGAAGTAATCTCAAATCACAAGTAGGAAATCTTATCTTTGAACACAATGCAAAGCCTTCAAGCTCCAATGGTAGAAATCCTTCTTTGACTGCTCTCTCTCACTCTCTCCTTTACTCTTCTTCCAGTAGGCACGAAGATCAATGAGCAAAAAGATTAGGAGGCAGTATAATTTAAAGTATATATACAAAAGACAAGAAAAATTGCCCAAAAACTGCAAATTTTCAATTTTGTACGCAGTGGATCGTCCCGTACGATCGTGGATCGTCCTGGACGATTTTACATAAAGTGTTAGAAAAGATCCTCATGTATATTGGTATGAACTATGTTTGTACACGCTCATCGTCCCGTACGAAATATGTTCATCCGGTACGAAATGGTTATTACATAGGTCGGTTCTCAAAATTCTACAGGACGTAACCAACTGACGTAAGTCGGTTCAGTTCTTCCTGGGACGAACAGGTTTCATCCTGGGATGATTTTATACAGAGCGTTTCATCCAGGGAAGAAAATTAATTTCGTCCTGCACGATCGCATACAGAGAGTTTCATCTAGGGACGAAAATTAATTTCATCCTGTACGATCTCATATAGAGAGCTTTGTCCCGGTACGAACCATATTTTTTGTCTGGATGAATAGTGCAAGGTGAGAATCCATAGACGTTTGTCCCAGGATGAATATTAAATTCGTCCTAGACGATTAGGACTTAGAAAATTTTCTACTTG